TAAATTTAGACTTTAGGCACTTTGAATTAAGTCAAACCAACCAGTCCGAGAATCCTGTTTTCAAATACTATGAGTCCGTTCTTATTAGTGGGCCCCATTAGTCAGTTGATATATTTTCAGTGTATACCTTTGTAAATAAAGTTGATGATGCTGATGATGATGATTATCATTATTTATTATTATGGACATTTTATTTAATCTGTGAGATAGCACATACACTTACACAAGTTGCACATATTATTATTGTTATCATCATCATCATCATCATCATCATCATTATTAGTTTTTAGAAATTGGTCATGCATTCAGTTCTTTAGAACTGATGTGTACCATTTACGAACTGGTTGCTCACACTGGTCGGTTCTATCTAATAGAAAGCACCCTTAGTCTTAAAGTGTTCAGTGTTTACCTTTTGAGATCAGGAAAAGACATCATGGCATGTTGTATTGTAGGTCCTATCTCTGGATGAGATAGCATCTTGTGCTCTTCTAATCCCAAATACCTAAAGAAAGGATAATCCAGTGAGCAATGTGGGATGTACTAAATTAGAAGCAAACTCCCTGAACTATGCATTAAATACATACATTATGTGCAAGTCATCTGGTAAGTCTGAAATATTAAAAGAAAACAATAATTAAGAATTACTAAAAAATATTATAGGTTTGACTTAGTGAAAATGGTTTAAAGACTAGGAATCACTGCATCATGGTAACTATATGAAAGAAATCTTATTGGATTCACAACTTCATGGTGGATGGAAAGCCTAACAGGTTTTGCAACCCACTTGATAAGGCTACTGATAAATCGAATTAGAATTTAGAAGGCTGATTTTTGTGGAGGGATGAAAACCCTGAGAACCTGGAGAAAAAATCCTTGAAGCACAGGAGAGAAACCACCAACAAGCAATGTTAACTTTACTGACATATGAGTGAGGTCACGAGTGAGGCCAAACAAGCTACAGACTCATGGACCACAAGGGCAAGAGGTTTAATTGTTTTATTTCAAAATGGATAAAAACAATTTTGAAATTAGGTTGAAATAACTTTTTTCCACATTGCTTTGGTTTTCAAAACTGGCACCACTAGTAGTCTGTTACTAATATGTATCAACCAGAAAAACAGCTATATTATTAATTAAAGTTGTTACCTGTGATCATTTCTAATAAAGGAGTTGTTTTATCTGAGCTGTTTTTCCACAGAGGTAGGACATCACTGTAAAACTGTCTAAATATCTTAGTCCTTGGCATCAAAGCTATGACTAGAGTATTGGTATTATTTACAAGATGTGAAGGAAGGTGTGCTGTCAAGGAAGGATTGTACTTGAGTATCATCAATGCCACTGTACTGCTGGATTCCTATGGCAAAACAAATAATAATATTAATATAAAATTTAATGTTTATTAACTGAAAAATGTCCAAAAAGTTATTATTAATAACAACATTAATAATGATGATCATTATTTTTTAGTCCAATTTTATTTTTTATTGAATTTATCATCTCATGCAAATAWGGAAAAAAATATTTTATACACTCAGCTGTTTCAAAAAAGGTTGGCAAAGGCTTTGTTGCATGTTGCACGTTGCATACCAAGCCTGAAATACAATATGGGCGATACAAATATATATGGAATATGGAATTGTTCCAAACTTTGCCTGCACCTTTTTCATGTGTATTATCTTTTGTGCGGCGATTATTACATATGAGAAGATGATATATTTCAAGTTTGGTATGCAACAAGACCTTATTTTGAAACAGCTGTATTCCAGATGTATCTCCATATATTTAGTATTATTTTATCTRCAAATTTTGAATTGTGCTTACACCATCATAAAACTGCATCCTTGAAATGACAGATAAAGGCAATGAAATAGCTCCACATCTGGGGTGAAGGAAGATGAAACCCTTTTCATAAACATATAAAGTACCTGTGAAGGATGAAAATAAATAAATGAAAGAAAGAATAACAATGTAAGCAGCAGATGAAAAACAACAAATTACTGAATTATTGGATGAATGGATGGATGGATGGATGGATGGATGGATGGATGGATGGATGGATGGATGGATAGAGGGACAGATAGATAGAGGGATGGACGGTCGGATAGAAGGACAAAAGAATGGATGGATGGATTGATAGATGGATGGATGGACAAAAGAATGGATGGATAGGATAGGGTTAATGGGACAGGATGGGATAGATGGAAAATGTGATTGGGTGGGATCCAAGCAAGGTTACAACTAATAAGGTAGTACAGTTGAAATAATGAAATAACAGAATGAATTGAAATAATTAAAAAAGAATGTAAAGTGAAAAAAAATCGCGTAATTAGTTATATGGAGGTGGACGGCTTGTATGGCTTACTCTTCTATCGATAATGAAGTTATTAAAAAAAAGGTAGTACAGTTGGCTTGACTACCTTGTTCATATTTGCTGTATATTGTCCCACCACCAACATAACATTGATCACCATAAACTAGCTGCTTGCCAAATGTTGTATTTTCTGCTTTGGACTTTAAAATATGAAATATGGATTAGTATAGTGTGAACAGGTAATGGTTCATCCAATTAAACTGAAAACAATTTACATTCCATTCATTTCACTYTTACCTTTACATAATCTTCCAAGCATTTGGATGACTCATTTTCCACCTCTCCTCCCTAAACAAAAAGGGGTCTAGTTTTAGTTTCTTTGAAAAGTCTACACTTAGTATAGAGTTATTGTAGCCATTACACTGACACTAGACTAGATGGATGGATGCATGGATGGGTGGATGCATGGATGGATGGATGGTGGGTAGGTGGTTGGATGGATGCATGGATGAATGGGTGGGTGGGTGGGTGCATGGATGGATGGATAAATAAAAAATTTACACAAAGTACAGTTATTACAGCCATTAATAACACTAGACTCACCATCCAAGAGGCAAATCTTGACACATTTTCAGTAAGAATCACATGCCTACAACTCCACTCAGTAGTACCATCTGAATCAAGAGAGATCAATACATCTGTCCATTAGTAAAGTACTAGTTAAACTACAAAATTTTAACTAAATAAAATATACTCGACTTTATATGAAGACAATTTTTAATGGCAATTTTTGAACATAAGTAACAATTAAATATTTTACCTCTGCTGAGAGTTTTTACRGCGGAGTTCAGAAACGTCTCTCCAAATGCAACAGAGCCCAGTGTTTTTCCAGGATGCTCTATGCTTGGTATATCATATAGATAGAGGCATGCCTGAAAAAACAAGTTTTCTTTTTAAATTTAAAATGATATACATTGCATTTTTCTTAGTTCTGGATATTGTTCCTAAAGATTTAAAAACCTAAAATAGGATTGGATGAAAACGTTTAATGGATTAATTTATTTCTCAATGTGTGCCTACCTTATTGATTGATGGACTACTATATTGTGATTCACCTTTCCTGTGAAATTAGATCATTCAAGCTGTTTTAAATTAGCCTAATAAATAAGCCATAGGTCATCATCATCATCATTGTCATTGTCATCTTCATCATCATCGCCACCATTATCATCACCATCATCATCCACGCATCAATAAAAAGGCAATCTGTACCTTCCTAGAACATCCTGTGCTTCCACAGAGAATTTCACTTCTTTTGGACCACCCGAGATGTTCTTCTTGTTTACTTCATCTTTAAGGGTGGAGTCAACAATACCCTTGGCCTATTAATAATAGATATAATGGTATAGATATGCTTACAATTATCGTAAATTGTCAGTCACTTAAAATTCAAAAAAGATTTTATCATGTCAGTACAGATGTGTAATGCATGCTGTTCCTTATGAAGGTTATAACCATGGGCAGTAATCTGACAGGCGCAGAGAAACATAAACATAACATAACATTTTACATGCAGAATAAAAATTTTGTGGTCATGTTGACAAACCTTCATAAGATCTTGAGTATGTACAAATGTATGAATGCCTTCAAGAAMTGCGCTAACAGCAATCAGGTACAAATCTATCAACAACCTGCACAAAAACAAAAAAGTGACTCAGTTGGTAAGAGCAATGAGTGGTCAAAAAAATTATATTTTACAACCATCACTCCATCAAACTTAACTCACAAGTGATCCAGTCTGAGCCTGGGCTCRAACCGGGAGCAYAGCGGCAAGAGGCGAGCAGTAAACCACRCCACCACTACAACATGATACACATAGTCAACCACTACAACAGACATACTGAGGAGAGACAGRTTGAGATGCTACAACTCCCATCTACTACTGGTTTAGGGTGCTTTATGATCCTTTATAGGCTAATTCAGTTTTACTGCAATGTTTTCTAATTTCAGACATGTCCACATCATTCTTAGTTTAGTAAATGATACAGCAAAAACTATTATGCATCATAAATAATAATTATACCAATTACAAACTCTACCTGAGGTCTTTACTTTGTATTTTCAAATTTGAAGTTGTGTCTTCTGAAAAATAATGTATTAACAATAAGATTAAAAACTTGGAACTGATTAGGTTTGTAATTTCCAATTCCCTTTGATAGCAAATGGAATTCAACATGCTAGCGAAAGTACAATGATTGGTAGCAAAGGTACATGATAGTGAAAGCACTTTAATTTGTATTATGAGATAACTGTTATGAATGTYGCATTCTGATTGGTCTGGAGCGTGTGCTTTATGAGAGCACATAGCACSYRCSCACACTTTCTGTTGCATCATTGWGATCTAAAATAACRGTTATYGTAATTTGTTTTTYATAAAAGCAATAAAAAACTCACTYGCTGTGCTGTGYGCCATCATAAARSACTTGGGGACTGGCARAACACTCGAGAAATGAGATACGYGTCGTCCTTCTCCTAACACTTATCTCATGTTATGCCATGACTGCACACAGCACGCAAGCGCATTTTCTATTTCTTCATTAYATCACTATTTCAATACAGTTAGTTCTTTTCAATCAGTCTATGTACGAACCTGAGTATGGTAGGAAGCCATTAGCAAAGAAGTATGTCCTGACACATGATATTATATCTCTTGGATCTGTGGCATAGCAAACCTGAAGGGTGTATGAATAAAAATAATCTAGCAATCAAAATCAAGGTGACTAAGGATTTATATTATTACCATAACCACAGATAATTATGATGATGATGAAAAGAATGGACGGGTAGAGGAAAAATATGAATCAATGGCTGATGGTAAAT